TTACAAAACGCATGAATATTAGTTTATTTTAATTTTCTCTTTCATCCTGTCTTCACGCACGTACGAGTGTAATTTGATGTACACCCACATATCTAGCCGTCCTGGAAAAGAAAAAAACGACGAATTTTACAATGAATCGAAATTTTCCTTGTATCCGTTTCTTCATCACTATATTGTACCACATAGCAAGGAATGGTAAGGAAAGTCGGCCAGACTCTGCAAAACATAACAAGTTACCAGAAGATTGTTTACAAACGACAAGCACATTGGATTTGAACTTCTGGCTGGCCACATCTTAGGGTCATCACTACCCGGACAGAAAATCTCAACTCCAGCACCTGCGCTTTGTCTTCGAACGACTACAAGAGCAGGGCATTTCTGAAAACACTCAGAAACGTGAAATCGAAACCAATCCACTAGATTTTCTCACACATGCTATTGATGCTCAAGACACCCGACCTATGAAAAGCAAAGTAGCGGCCATTCTTTATGACAGAGAACTGACCACGATCAAGTAGCTGCACATGTTTAACGGCTTAGTAAGTTTCTATAAACGGCTCATACGAAACTGAGCAACTTTTATGAGACCTTTAACCAACCAACTTCGTGGAAATGCGAAATTCATCAATTTGGATGATATTGTGAGAAGAGCATCCTCCACAACTGTGGAAATTATCGCGAATGCAAACGTACTTGCACAGCAGAACACCCAAGCATCGCTCCGAAGTACCGCAATAAAGGCATCCGACTCGGCAGTCGGAAGAGTCTTACAACAATGGTCTAACCACTGATGGTAATAGTTAGTGTACTTCTCAAGACATCGGACCAAGGTGTACTACTTTCGGTAGGGAACTTCTAGCTATGTATGGTGCTGTACGGCAATTCCAACACTATAGAAGGCCGAGAATTCAATCATTTCACTTACCGCAAACCTCTTACATTCTCTTTTCCATTAGCTGAAAAGCTATAAGTCCAATCATCAGGGTTAGTTAAGTTACTTACGGGTAATATTAAAGCGTTTGGGGGCTGCTTATATGTGAAGGATAACCCTTTTTCTGTTGCGTAGGCCGAAGGTACAAGTTTATGGTAGAATGTGTTTTCACCAAAACATATATATTTCCAAATTCTCCCTAATGAAATAAGGACGTTTTTACAGTTGATTGATCACTGGGTGATCAATGTCATTTATGCCAGTTCCTTCTTAGTGCAGATCTAATGTTGCAAAGTAGCCACCAGTCTAGGTGACTCGACATTGCATGCACTGTGTTGTGATAAGATTGTGGTTATAGTTAGTCAATAGGAAACCTGGACCTAGGTTTCGCGCTACTTGGCGCTCATCAGCAAAGCGTACCTGTAATCTTGAAGGAACTAATGCCCCCTGACGAATTCGGCTTCCTGTCACCCAGCTTCACAGTCAGAGATGTTCTCAATGAGCTCAGTGGTGGTGCCAAGTAACACGAAACCTAAGTCCAGGGTTTGCTAAGGACTACCTACAGAAGTGAATGAGTACTTGAGCTGTAATGTTTGAAGTAATGCCATGAACAAGTGTATTCAAGTGAAAAGAAGAATAAATGAAAACGGAAAGAGTGTGGTTGAACTGCCACATGTGTCGATCCTGTTGTATAACTTAATTAATTGGCATCAGCTGTTCCTAACTCTTATCATGAACTCTCTAGTAATAAGTTCCACGATTTTGGAATGCACGCAGCATGACAAAGGGATTTCGCTTAGGTTCACTCACTCTGTAACCTTTGTGGATTACCAAAGCTCTGCCCTACAATCTACCCATGACTTTTTTATGACAAAACAAACAGCTAAAATATTCTTTTCAGGAAGAAAAACTTTGTTTATGAATGAGCAGGATTTCATGAGAAGAATGAAGTCATTTATCACTAGCTTTTGTTGAGGCCGTACTCAACAGTTGCCATTTTCATCAGACAGATAGGGACTTTAGACAAAGCTATTTCGAATAAGGCATTTGCACTAAATTTTTCTTTAAATTATTAACATCCGTATATTTGGGAATGTAAGTAAACTTTTTCTATCAGTGATATTATTCACTGCTACTTAACACAAAAACAAAATCGACTGTTGACTGTTGAATTTTTCGTTTCTGTGAGGTTTTTTATGCAATGCTTTCAGTACAAACATATAGTCCGCTGGGACAAACTATACCAACTTTCAGCAAATCATTCAGATTTAAAGCACTAGATACCCTGAATACGATCAGTGATATTCGCAAACCAAATTCTTTGGAATTAAGCATAAATGAGGAAGTTAATTCAGACACTCGCTGTCTCCTCCAGTCGAAATTCAAAATAAAGTTGATGTTAAGGAATGGTCCCATATGTAGTCGTAGATTTACGTACACATCATTACCTAAACAAATGTTACAACCCAGTAAGTCGACCACAAACTGTTCAGCAGTTACTCACATCTAAGAGCTATTAAGTAAATAAGTTAATAAAGGATACAAATTAATTACCGATATCAATAAAAAAACATCATTCTATCCTTTCCGGATAATTCACAAACTGATTGTCCGAAAGGCAGTTTATGCTCAGTAAAATTATTAATAACAAAGGTATCAAGAGTTACTTGTAGCAACACTGAACGTTTCCAAATCTGGAAGTATACTTAGATTTATTATGTTAAAAAATCCAATAAAATTCAGGCAACCAACTCAAAAGAAGAAACGAATCACTGTAGTTGCCGCAAAAACAAATATTACAAGTGGATCAACATAAATGAAATCCATTAGAATAATAAAAATTGAGTAAAAACGTCAGAAAACAAAAATTAAGTAGAGAACTCAATGGAATTCACAGCAGTAGCGATCCAGAAGTATATGTTGCAAAAGTATGTTCAAGGAAAGATTCACAATCACAGTCAGAAGCACTGTTCTATAAAGATGATAAGATCTACAGGTTCATATGGAAAGAAAAGTATTCACTTGAGCTTCAAAAATTTCTTACAACATTAGAGGGGTGGTCAGTAGACAGTTAGTTAAAACTTAACCTACCAATATGTCATAACATGGGCGTTCCCATCCTATGTGACACAAACAACCTACGTCCTTTGTGAAAATTCCCTCACTATAATCTCCTCGGAGCACGATCCAGAAGTGTCAACTGCGGACAGCGTGAACGCCAGATCAAACCACATTATGGATACAGTCAAGGCAAACGCAACTCTCCACTTTATACGAGGACGGATTGCCACCACTACTCTGGGACGGTTTCTAACACTTTAAAATGCACCCACGACACCTCGAAACATGCGACTTTGCTGCACTGTCTCTCTTCAAAATCGAAACAAATCCCTTGAACAGAGCACAGAGACGGGAAATGGGCGAGTGATGAAACTGAGAAACAAATCTTACAAAGATAGAATCGGACACTTGGGATTATTATCTCCGAGTCATCGGAGAACAAGAGGTGACCTGATAATGACAGAAAGCATACTGAGCACATCAAGTCACCGTAGCAAAAACATCTTACCAGAACATCACCACCGGGCTCTGCGAAATAACTCCCTTAAAATTACACATCCAAGGGCGTAGACTCATGAGCGTTCTCATTTTTTCAGATTAAGTGTTATATGTCTTTAGAGTATCCTTCCAGCTGAAGTGGTCAAAGCCTCCTCAGTAGATAGACTTGACAAACATGATCTTACTCCTGGGTTGCCATCACCCTCTTCGATCACCTATATCTGGTGCATCTGATAAAACGCCTGTTGTAATCATCATAGGTAGTAACTACTTCCTGTCATGCTTATTACTATCGTGTCCTTTTTTATTTTAATATCCGGCTTTTCACAGTCTGCATTTTCAATTAGTTAACTTATTTATTTGTTTATTGAAGCAGTCGTCTTATTTATGTACTACAGTTTTCAATTTATTAATTTGCTGATTGCAACCAACCAACTTTCTCTCTGATAATGTGATTGCTGAGAATTTCAGAAATCCTGCTGCACTGACATAAACACACTTAGACTGTTATTGTTTCATTTGCACAGACATGTTGCTCAAAGTAGTTAAATGGACATAATTAAGCCGATAAAACCAAAACACGAAATATAGGCCAGTTGAACATACCAAAGAAAAAAAAGAAGGATACATATATACTGCTTTCATACTGAAGACAACAGGCAGTTAATCATAGAAACATAGTTTACAGTACAACAAACCTTTCTTCAGTAAAATCATGCACTGACAGTCTATCTGGAAACAATCAACTATGTGAACAAACTCACTATGACTTGAGATATTATCTCAGCGTGCAATGGACGTACAGTGTAACGCAGTCAGACGTGGCGAATAAAAATTAAAAACAGAGGAAAATTAACAACATAATCTAGTTATTTAATTAAAAATACATTATGAAATGACAAAATCTGTGGTTACTTGAACGCACAGATGATAGTTGCGATGCATTAAGTTTACATGGTTGCGTTGCGGATAAGATCACCCCTGCATGATATACAAACCAACAAGTCTCTACACACTGTTAACCAAGTGACTGGACCACCAGTGGTCGGGAATCATCAAATATCTGGAACCGTAACGAAACAACAAGTAGCAAGTACAATGAAATCAGACTTAACAAGCTCATTTTCGACCAACTCGACGGAAGAACTTTCATCCTCTTTGATCGTTAAATATACCGAGGTTCTTACCTGGAGACCTTGGCGATCCACTGCTACTAGATACGGAAGGCTGTTAAGCGAAATGTTCTTCTATTCCATCCAGAACTATTTGAAACCATTTTGAGCTAATGACAAAATATTGGATATTGGATGCTTTGTATAGGCTCCGAATATGCTGAAGGTCGTTGGTTTTCTCCAAGAGGTCCCTCATTGGTTGAGGATAATGGTTTCCAGCTAGCGTCTTCTACTATGGGGAATGCTCATGCCTTAGAGAAACATCAGCTTCCAAATGTTGGGAGTGGAACGACGGGTTCTGTAGGCCTAAAAGATTTGAAAGTCGTTGGAAATCCTTTATGAATTCACTTGATTTGTCAGCCGAACATATAAAACAAATTGAATTGTTAGATGAAGAGAAGAAGGCAGAGCTACTGTCAAACTATGTACTAAAGAAGTTATTTGCATATTTTATCCCAGGAATTAAAAAATCCTAGGTGTTCTGCTTTTCACTATGTTGCGCTTTTAAAAGCTAGTCGGATTGAATTCATTTGGGTTCGTTCAGTGCTTCCCCAACTAACTTTTGTAGAAAAAGAAAGTCGACGGTTCAGCATTTTGTTCCCTACTATCGTCAGTAGAGATTTCTCTTCGTACCAACAATGTTGAGTAATTTAGTTCAATATATTCGAATTATAGATGGGTTTATGACTTTTTAGATCTCGAGGGCCTTGAGGCACTAGCCGATCTAATGTTACAATGTATGTATTTTCTATCAGGGTTAGTCGTCCGGTATGATGGGTTATTTTCTTCAGACAGGACACGACATTCGGCCCACGAATATTGTGTGGGACTAAATCCTCAGACGAAACTTACCGGGATCGTTACAAAATGTCTTGCTATTCAGAAGTTCCTAACTTCATCCGTAATAGTAGCATAAAGTCAACCCAGTTTTCACCAAGTAATAAGAATTAACTCGTTTTCACAATTCATGTGGTGATTTAGACAATGCATTTTTACCCACATCCATTATTCACAGTAGCTGTTCACCAAAAGGTTCTCTACTCACTGCATCGTTCTTAGACTTTCTCGAGGATTGCTTACATCTGTCTCTTCGTTCACTTAAGGCCATATTGAATAATCAGGTTGGTTCTTCTGCTGCTCATTATTATTAGTCTTTTTAGAGAGGGTGTAGAAAAGCTATGGAGTATGCACTTGCCATTAATCTAGTAACATTTTGTCTTCTGCATCCTAATTATTCGTAAGTACCACAATTAAATGTCGACTTATAACTTAGTTTTACATATTTTCGCCCTAATGTAACGTTATATCGCGTTAGTGACGTAGGTCAAAGTATAAAATAAAATTCGGCCCACTCTCTTTAACAGTACTTACATTTCTGGAGGCTGTATCCAGTGAGATTTGGTGTTCGTTTTCTCTCATAGGCTGAGTATGTACACTTTTCTGGCTCAAAATAGCCGAGGCAAACTTAGTGCAGTCATGCATATGTTAGCTCAGGTATTCTAGGTTCTGGTTGAACGTTATTGTTGTCAGTGTAGTAGTGTATTTTGGATCATTCATTTTCACGTGAAATTCCTTTTTCATGATTTGATCATTACGATGACAGAATAATGGAACTGCATTCGCTGACTATGGACTAAGAGAAGTGTGATCCCTATTACGTCCCACATTAGCTCCAGATGGATGTTATCGTTTTATTGTCAAGTTATAGGACCTCGATTGTGTTGTTTAAGCCGACTAGCATAACTCAAAACATCATGTGAATCCTCTGATGCTTTTTTCTACTCACTAAGTAAAAAAGTGGGATTGCGCGGAGAAAAATCCGTTTAGAATTTGTATCGTAATATACACTACTATTAAACCTTACAGCTAAGTTGTACACACTTCCATTATTGGTGTCAACTTTAAGCCTTACTCCTTATGGTTTCCAGCCTTTTATTTAACAGCCCACAAATCAGTTACACAGCTTGTGGTGATAGTTGGTGACTGTAAAAATTATTACTTATCATCCTGGTTTTCTGCTTTGTACTCTGACAAGCGCTGCTTGTCTTAGGGGATGACTTAGCGTAAATAACACATGTCGGGATCTCTACGGACAATACTGATATATGATTTTATCTATTGATTTACTTCTTATGAACATTACTCCTAACTTTGTTTGGTGCTTAGTGATTCTCATATCTAGTAGGTGTGCTGTAAATGAGGTCTTTCAAACATGTCATATTGCTTCCTACACTGATATGTTGTGTTAAATAAAAATTTCTCTGGCACTAATAAAGGTATGTGATCGCAAATCGTAACTGGGTCTCATTCATTAAAATCAAGATTGTTATCATCTTTATAGTCCATTTTTTTGCTTAATGGATGCGAGATTTCAAGCACAATTTATTCCATATAAGTTAGCGTAGACATGGGTTCTAAAGTATTTTAAAAGTTGAAGGTGCAGTTCATTGTATTCAAAGTATCAAAGAAACAGTATTTTGGTAGATTATGATGTTTATGTATTCTGAGAATCACAAGATTTTTATGTGTTGTATGTATTTTCCATTTACACGCTATCCAGAATACTGTTTCTGGTGAATCAGCAAAATGCTAAATATTGATCGTAGACTTTTAATCACACGCATTTTAAATGATAGTTTGTCGTTTCAAGATTATTCATCTGGATTGCTGTAAGTAGTCTATCCTCCTAGGACTAATACTCGAATCTCCCTAAAGTTCATTTCTGATAGTTAATTTACTACGTGATAAAGTAAATGAATTAGTAACCTCTTATCGAGTCATTTATACGCGTTCGCCTAAAGTCTAATCAATTCAATAAATTGGAACCAGCTGTAACTTTATTCTTGGAAATATTTTTCTGTAGAACAAAAACGCTAGCACTAGATATGCTTACTGCATTGTGTCTGATTGAAGGTGGTCACGTGAAAGTCTTGCAATCCTTCGATAGGTTACGCGTTGTGATGGGTGAAGGATTGAGATTTGAGCTTCTTTTAGCAGCATTCAGATACCACGAGTCGCTTGATGAAGAAAGCTACAATCTAGATTTTGCAGTGAGTTTTCCTATTTTATTTCTCATGATCTTTGAGTAATTAATTGTTAATGTATTGTCACAAAAACATAGCTGGATAAGATTTACTCCTCACGAAGTATCCATAAATGTTCAATGCATGTCTGGTTAGGTGTAGTTCAGTAGCTTCAAGACTCAAATCTTCAAGTCAACATTCCGAATCCTCTTCAACTACAGGAGGCAGTTGGGTTGACATTCTTAGGCAAACACGTGTATTCTGTGTCACCACACAGTCCGGAGATTTATTTAGTTGGAACACATTAAGTTTTACATTCACATTAACTAATTTCATTATTTGAACTAATTAGTCATATTAGAATAAGTTTGGTATGCTTGTAAAAGCTAGAAATTTCCTCAGAACAGAACCAACTAGTTCCTATTGGAATATTATAGATTCATCGATGATGCGACTGACTACAGTTGATAATCGGCACTAATCAGTAAAATGATCCAAGGTGCTTCTGTGGATTTAAAGCTTTGATTATAGTAATTTATGGCCCTATCAAGTATCGCGTGACAAAATTATCAGTCAGACTTCTGTGACATTGTCTTTGTGCTAAACCAATGACACGCCAACCAGTACTATCGGTCTTGAGTCAGTTCTGAATCTTTACTGGTCATCAACATAGTAGCTTCTCGCCTACCCTTGCCCGTTGAGTCCGGGACACAATATCCTCCTCCACTGTATGGATAATATATTTCAGACATACGTAGTCCATATACAACCAGACCAGACGGCATCACATCATAAAGTGAAAAATAAGTTATACAAGATCAAGCCAAAAGTGGCTGTGAGTACAGGAGACTAACTAATAGCTCGGGAATAAATTAAGAATAGTAAGTCGTTTAATGTTACTTTATGGGTCAAATGAAAGCTTGTGATAAACGGAATATGAATGTATATATAACCTGGTTATTTGATAGTTATATGATAAGAATATACATATAATAATCTATAAATAATTCCCGAAGTTACCATTCATTTAATCTTTGGATACCATACTTATAATCCCTAATAACTGGTGGATAACATGTAGTTACTTTGATTTACTAGCGCAGTGCATTATATTAATATGTAGAGTGATGGACACTTATGTCACAATTCAGAGAGAACACTAATACTTACTGCTAATAAAAATATCTAGTTGATGATTATTTATTGAAAACGTCTGCCTTATGTCCATATAATAACTACTGAATACTACTGGCTTTATCTTATATCTATACTTTAGAAAAATATCTGATTAAGCTCTTGACACTATTGGTTAAAAGGAGTGGCTTTTGCGCTTTAAAAATATAACATCTTGTTGACCATAAATGAGGGTTCCCTATCATGTCCATTTCTTAAACAAATTATCATCTTAACGCATTTATTCGAAACTATGAGATATGAGGACCGGTTAAACAATTTCGTTACCACTTATATTAACTGGATTTATTTTTATTTATTTATTTATTTGAACACATAAACATTAGTACAAAGTGGCACCAAATACATATGCGCCACATAATAACAATGAGGCCCGTAGGAGTTATCATTGTTTAGAATGAGGGCTGTGGTACTACCCGGGCGCCCAAACCAAAGCAGATGGTTTTCTTAGGGGACCACATCCGGAGCCATTCGACCTGAAAGTCTGATCCACAAGGCAGTGGGACAACGTCAGCAGATGCGGTCACGTGGTAACCAGTGGCCAACAATAGGTTCATACGCCGTTTGCTCCTTTAAAATCCTGGAGCCCATGTGCACCATTGATTTAGAATTAGGGTTTTCCGACTCCCATGAGTGGATCCTCCACATATCGACCGACCCGACGAAACCACCGAACATTCGCTTTTCTTTCTCTCAATTTCGTAAACAACACCAGTGCCGCGAAAAAGCAGTGAGTAAGACTTTCTTGTTAGTGGTTAGATACGCGTGGCCATGTGAGAGTATTTCAAGAGGGAAAGCAGACTCTCTTTACCCTCGACCGTACCAGGACATTTGGGGGCCCTGAATAGTTCATACGGGTTTATAGTTTATTTGAACTTTTTTCCAGGACAGTATGTAGCTTTTGAATGTTTCATTGGCTTTCTCATGTTCACTGTTGAAACTTTAATACTTTGGAAGTATGAATTCATGAGCTTATATTTTAAATATTCAATTTTTGAAGGTAACATGCGTGCAATTTCTCAATATTATTGTTCATTCACCAGAGAATATAAATTTACGAGTATATTTACAATATGAACTCCACTTACTTGGATTTGATGATTTGTTAAAAGTAAGTTATATGTTTACTCAACAAATGAATTCTCTTCATTACATTTCCCATAATAAAGAAGATTTTAACTTAGCTTTAAGACTTAGTTCTATAACATTTAAAAAACCGTTCTCACGTACATCATTAAAAGTTAATAATCAGTCACTTGCGTGACTAATTATTGTTATCATTATTATTATTATTATTATTATTATTATTATTATTATTATTATTATTATATAAAAGAATCGTATTCTGAATGAAAGTAATGAACAACTTAATTAATTTCATATAAAGTATTATATAATACTTTATCTCAATGTTATTAAATCTATAACATTTTGGTCATTTTTCGTAATTTATTAACCTTTTCTTATAGCAAATTCGTGATCGTTCTGGGTCACGATTAAAAGTTCAAATTGAAGCCTATTTAGATAATCGTGTAGATTGTTCATTACTACTAGAAGATGCTGAAGCTAAGGAGGCAGCTGTTCTGGAACAAGAACGTTTGGAAAAGCAATTGGAATCAGAAATGGCTATAGCTAGAAAATCTGAGAGAATTTTAAGGTATGATTGTTTCTCGTTTATTCTTCTTAAGTTATTGGTCTTGTTTTATGTGATCAATTAAAAGTCCGTTTAAAACGTCACATATTTACCTCGATCCCGATAAATCTTCTGACTGAACGCTTGAATCGGTTTCCTAAGCTCTTCTAATAACCCCAGGCCAAATCTATACGACAACTTGAACACGGGAGAAAAGGAGCGAAATATGGAAAGGACGTTTTACTACAAGGTTCTGGAACGCTACTAAACATAGTAGCAGAATAGGCAATCATCCATTCCGAAGTGTGACATGTGACTCTTTACTTTCTAGATGAATCTAAGAAACTTCTATTCAGTGCAGATTGGACAAGGATTTTCCTAGCGTTTTCAGGGCCGCTATGGACTTTTTTTGAGGAATAATCTGTCTCTTCCCAACAGATCTATTGTTGTATTTGAGCATCGTGTTTGACTTTTGCGTATTTTTAAAGTTAATTCTACAAACTTGATACAATAATTGGTATGACAAGTGTATTATAAAAAACACTACATATTCACCACATATGCTCAATCTGTGTTAAGATGCTTGAAAGAAAGTGTCACAAGCCTTGTATTTCGCTTTGTACGAGTTGGTGCTCATCAATAAAGGGGATCTGCCTGCTGCTATGCTAGGTAATATGAAGTAGGTCAGAGAAAAGTTGGTAGGGATCGTGTTACAGTCCATAAACTCACTAACTGTCAAACTTTAATCTTGTTAAGAGATGCGGTCATCCTGACTGATTTCTCTGTTATCCTTTGGTGCACAGTTTAGGTATTATGGGTTTAAACCAGCCAAAAACATGCAAAAAATACCTATTCCTTATCTTCCTCCAGGTTTTGAGTTTTAAGTTTGTTTTATAATTCATTCCATGATTTCACTCACTTATATTTAGCTAATATTCCAAATTATGACGTACTTTCACCGCCATTGATATTATCATTTAAACTCATTTGATTTTCGTTTGGCTAATTTCCTGTCCTCATTTAATTGAATTGAAATTAACTTGAGCTAATTAGTACTTTCGCCAGGTTTCATATTGTCTATTACTAACCGAAGAAATTGTTGCTTCATTTGATATCTATTGGAATGCTATCTTATGACCGTACGAGCACTTTATGTACCTAAATAGTTGCTCTGGTTGTCAGAAGGGGCATAGGCCTCGTGACTTCCGAAGGAACTTGGCTTTCATCATGGGGCGTCATAACTTCTAAATGAAGACATTCTGACTCCCAGGGCAGTGTTTAAATGGTTTGAATAATTTTTCCTGGTTAGAGTTTTATAGCGAATTCGTTTTCTACGAGATGGGTTCGCTAACCCCATGACAAACCCTCCTCCTTTATTCGAGCTTAGGACTGGGAGTAGCCCCAGAGGGGCTCCAGTCGAAGTTATATTATGACTGTGCTCAAATTATATTTTATTAAAGATGTCTTCTCCGCGGTCTTGTTTCTGACAGGATAGAATGACAAAGTGGATATCCTTCTACTGTAACCAAGTTAAAAAACATAGATTCATCCAGAAAAGTAACAAACTCTAATTTTCAGTTGTTAAGTCTACATAAAGTTTAATATTCTTCAGGTACAAATAAAATATCACTGTTTTCTGTGTAGCTGACTGTCATGAACAACTAACTCTTAACATTATCTTACTGTCTAGGGAATTAGAATTTTTGCATTGATAACTTACATAACAGGTTTCTTAATCTGAATACCTGTAAAAGCTGACTTTATTGAAGTCTTCACATAAATCTGCTTCTTTAACACAATAGATGCAAAACTTGTCGTGATTAGTAAGATAATGTAAACATTTCTTCTTTTGTTAAGTGATAGCGTTGGATTAAGCAATTGTAAAATTTCATGGGACTTGAAGGCCACTATATACATATATGTTATAAGTTAACCAAAATAATGTAATTGCCTAAAATTGACTTGATGATATATTAGGGTAGATAATATCTTAGTACTGTGTGAAGACAAACTATTTCACTGATTCTTAATTGAATACGATGATTAGTGTACTTAATTTGTAACTCTAAAAACAAGATTTATGGAGTCTCATTTTGGGTGTAAATACGTACAAGAACAATTTATAATTTGTTTCGTCCCGTATAATTTAACATAATATTATACACCTATAATTGTGTGAACCATATCGGTAGTGTTTTCATGGACAGGTTTTAAGCTTCAAGGCAAAATTTACATTTATTAGTGATTGAGTGTGTGCGCATACTTGTATTAGCCTTCATATGCCAATTACAATTTTTAAACCATAATTGTAAATATTTGGCTTTCTCCATCATACAGTTGTTGTCTCTGATTTAATGTCCTTCTCATAGTATAGTTTTTTATTTCGGCAAAGTAACATAATCTCTATGCTTTCATTAAGTATCTCATGTACATTGATTAGTTCTAACGATTATTTTCCTGTGTGCCATACCACTGGTTTTTTTGTTGTTAATTAGCTTTAATTTCGTTGGTTCTAATTATTCTCTTTTGTAGTTGATAGGTATTAGGTAATGATGGTAAATCAGTTGACGAGGTTGTTAATCTTTATCGACTGAGATGGTTGGGCCACGTGTTACGTATGCTTGAACACCGATTACCACGTCGTGCAATGCTAACGGGTGTTAGAGATGGTTGAAGAGAATTAGGGGCGACCAAACCAAAACGTGCCATCAGTTCTTGAAGACACTAACCTCTAGTCTGAGCCATGTTGGTAGATGTAGACTACTTGGTTGGGGTCCGCGTGACTTTCGTAACCGATGGTTGGAGACTCTTGGTGACATGGCTCAGAATCGATCACAATGGCGTCAGTGTATACACTCCCTGTCTTCCCTTAAACTAAGAGATTAAAATCACTTCATATCTTTCTTTCTACGAACTAATTCTTTATTCCTGTACTGTATCCTTATATGCAATCTTTCTCCTATATATTACCACCTTTGACCTAACCACTCCTCTGAATCCGGTGTTCATCTTGCTGTGCTAATGAGGTATGGCAACCTGGACCGATGCATATATGTGCCTGGTCCTACGTTGTAGCTGACTGACTGACTGAGTTGATAGGTTATAATTTTGATGGGTTCTGAATCTAAGTTCTATTGGGACAATACAGCTACTCAATTCGATAGATATAACTAAATTCAGACTTGATTGGAAAAACGTTTATCTTAAATCTCAATGTTAACAACAGATAATTAGTATTAAGTTATTAATAAAAATAGAAAACCGATCATGAAATATCTATTCAATCTTCGAACATGCCTACACGGTACTGATCTGTTTATATGCTCCTCATCAACAATACAAACGTCAATTTGTTTTACTTATCATGGTAAGAGATCTGACTACAAAATCATCGGACGATGATGATCGTATGATGGTAATGACGAAACAAATATCCCAACTTCCCCTGTGTAAATTTATCGACTTAATTCTCGTTAGTGAATAACGAAATAAGTTAAATACGAGATTGGATTTTGGATGCATTTATTTCATACACCCGTTACCACAGACGGATAATAACAGAAATGAAGCAATGAAGACAAGCGTGCCAACTCGATTTGATAAAGCGTGACTCACTGTTTATAATCATGAAGGGAAATAGGTTAAAGACATGTAATGAATAGAGTGTATGATACGCACACATACGCTCTTATCGAGATAGTCAAGCTTATAAGGGTATAACTGACAAGTTCAGAATAGGTGTGGACACCGACTCAGAAGGAATAAATTAGTTGCTGTGTCCAAAAGCTAGAATCAGCGACGTAGGTGTGACATAGAACTGTATACTACATGCCCATTAACGATCAGTTCGTGAGTTTTACCGCATAGATTAATATCATGTAAATCGAATCATTGGCAACAAGTGAAAACTGAACAGTTATCAGTTTGTAGTTTAGATCCTTTCACTATTGTAAGCTTACAGAATTAAACCCATTACCTAAGCAAACAATATTTATTCCCTCGTTAACGACTGATATCAAAATGAATTCTTGAAGAATTTTTCATGATAAATCGCGATTAATTGATCGCTATCTTGTTGCAAAGGAATTAAATATCACCGATAAGATTTGGATGATGATCTAATATTGCTAATCGACTAAAGTTGGAAACTAAATTAAAATAATCTTTGTGAATCGTTCGTAATTTCGATTAACGACAACAAATAACCTTATCGATACTGATGAGTATTGTATATTAAATACATGGAGAGAGATATTTATCTACCCATTAATGTGTGTTTCGATATGGTAGAATATATGATAGAATAATTAACCGAAATCACATTTATCATATGACTTAATTAAGAACAATATTTTCACATGTTTTTAAATAATTTATCTTATTTTTTTAAATCACTATTCACGATAAACAAAGCGTTGTTTAATTTAATAAATGTACGAAGATTATAGAGAATTGGATGTGAATATATGTTTTGTGACAGGTTTACAGTGTTGTTTAGTGTAGATGATATTAATGAAATTCCAGGGCAAAGTCTAAATGAGAAAAAGGCCATCTAGGACACGTAGGTTACAAGTAATGGATTAGTGTTCATAGAATCTGACTTCCAATCTACCGCATATGTTATGGCCTGCCAAAGATTCACAAACATGGTGTCCCACTCAGGCTTATTTTGTCAACATAAAGAGTTCATCATTTGTGTGTGGGCTGTGATACTGCCCGGGTGCCCAAACCGAAGCAGTTGGTTATTTTAGGGAGCCACTCCCCGAGCCTTTGACCTAAAGGTCTAACTCACAAGGCAGTGGAGCATCGTAAGGAGATGCAATCTAATGGTAGCCGGTGACCAACGATTGTTCATACGCCATTTGTTTCCTCAGGATACTGGAGCCCATGTGCACCATTGGTTTGTGATCCGGTTGAAGCGCCGGCCATTCGCCCAGATAACATACCTCCGGCTCTTTTTAAAGATGGTGGTGACTTTTTGACTAAGGAATTGACGACGTTGTTTACAAAGGTTTGGGAACTAG